CCGAGCAGTGACACCAACAATTTCCAGTTCCAGAACAGAAGAGCAGAATTTCGAGCCAAAATAAAAGTGAATAAGAAAGAGAGCATATTAATAATAATAATAATATAGAAGGCTAACAAGAAAGGCAGCATTGTTAGTCTCTTAAGAACAACCTTCAGGTTTCATAAAACGTTGGAAATTTTTGTGTAGATGAAGAAATTTTAATTTGTCAAGGAAGGCTGTGATCCATTTAGTTACGTAATGCCTGCTGTTCTGCAATTATGATTTATTCATGAAAGGCTGTAGTTGCTACGAATATTAGCAAAAGAATACAAGAATAAACGGCAGTGGAAAGTATTAATTCATTTACCCTGGAATTATCAACTTCATGACAGAAAATTATGACAAGTGTGTATATATTTTAAACTACCAGATTTAGTGTCTTCGAATAAACAAAAGTCTTGTTGTCTTTGCAGAACTTTTCATGTAATTGAGGTTAATTATTCTTGATAACATTTGTTTTAGAGGCAAAAAAATATTGCACGTATACATACGTTATTTTCTCAGCGGATTTTATGCTCCAGCTACAATAATGCTGTTGATAACGGCCTTATGCTGGCCGATATTAAAATGAAATATTGTTTTTTTCACGTTAAATCCAGAACTATAAACGTCAAGGTTTAATAATTCCATGTTTTAGTGATTCTGAGCACGACTTTTGTCTTTCTGCAATAAGAGTCGCTTTTTCTTTCACAAGTAATTGTCTTTTTATCGTCACTTCTAAATCTGCACTTATCTGGACAATTCGTCGTATTACTTCAATATCCAATGTTCTAGTGGCAGTAAGTAAGGTTATAAAATTCCCATAAACCTGTGTAAATTACAGCCTTTACAATGATATTTTGGTTCCAAAAGAGCAAAGAATTCCATCCTGTGCTTCGACATTTAGTGCCTACTGTAACTCTGACGTTAAAAGAAAAGTAATACTTATTGGCTTCCAAACATAGGGCATAGATTGCCTTTAAAGAAAAGACTGTTTGGCTAGTGCAAAGGAAAGACATAACTTTTTCATATAATTGTCTGAATGAAAGACTACACCCAAATAATCCAGTGATTAACATTAGCTCTTTCTAAAGGACTTAATTTTTCGTCTGGGGAGGTACTTAAACGATTTTTTTAAATTTTATGTTATATCCAGTGTTCTAGACAACTGACAGATATCAGAAACCAAGTAGCAAGTTACTACATAATATTTCAACATGACAACCTTTTATAACTGATATTTTTACTTAATTTGCTTCGGATTATAATATTTTGTTTTATTACGAAGAAAATCAGTTTAAAATACAAGAAATTCGCGACATGTATTAAGGATCAAGAACATATCCCATACACAAGTAGTATGAACCATGTTATCAAAATGAATAGAAATATAAAGCATAAACTATTCAAACATTTGTGAAAGGATTGTTACTGTTGAAGGTTTAGCTGAAACTACCTGTATGGGGCAGAACCATAACTAAGAAGCTATTGTTTCCTCCACTAGTTAATAACTTGTCTGCATTTTATGAAAACCAAAGAATCACAGAGTCTGTTGGCCTTATCATGAGACAGATAATTCCAATCCACATCCTCGCCCTCTGTGCCCCCTAAGAGGTCCCTTGGTTTAAGATTTTCAAGCTAAAATTTTGCATACATTTCCTGTACATGCTATATGTCTAGCCTTTAAAATACTCCTTGTGTATTGTTATTTTTGCTGCTATTCAACTCCCTTGAATTGGTATTATTGTTATTGATGATGATGGTGATGGTGGTGATGACGATGATGATGATGATAATGATGGTGGGGGTGTTGTTATGTTGTTGTTACTTGCTATTAATCACTTGAGATCAGGCAGTTGATCTAATAATCTAACTTCTTGACAGTGACAATGAACATCCTTTCCTGTGCTGCACTTCTCCGAGTCTGTAAAGCGTGTTTTTCTGGTTCTCAGGTTATCCGGATGTTGTTTGTGGTTGTGGCAGAATTCTTTGTGTGCTGGGCACCTTTACATGTGCTCAACACGTGGTACACCTTCAACCCTGAAGCCGTGTACCGCACAGTTGGTAGCACTGGGGTGTCTCTCGTTCAGCTTCTTGCCTACATCAGCTCCTGTTGCAACCCTATCACTTACTGCTTCATGAACAGAAAATTTCGACAAGCGTTCCTTAGAGTTTTCGACTGTTACAGGTGCTGGAGGTAAGTTAACATGGATAATTTGATGGTAACATACACATTATTCTTGTTTACACCAATAACATTTGTTATATATTTATTTTTAGCTTAATTTCTACTTAAAAAGTAAATTGATTTCTTAAACGCGAACACATTATTTCGTATTGATGAGGTAAGATAAAGGTAAATTTATCCCTGTAGGTTCGTTTAACTTATGTTTCTTGTGTATTTAGCACGTGTCCGTTACAGTACAAAGGCCAGACACTGTTATACATACAAATTTGATGCGAATATCGTCTCCCTTAAACTCGCCTAAGACTGGCCAATGTTGGTCGTTTCGAAGCTGTTTGATTCAAAAATTAGTTTACGGCGTCACAGAAACAGTATTCTCATCTACAATTCTGCTGTTTAAATTGTTTACTTCTTCAAGTTTCTTCTAGTATGGTTACTATTGATATTATAAATTTAATTCTGAGGACTACTTTGATGCGGCTACCCCGCCGCAGAAACCATGACCCAGCCTTAGCCTCTAGCGATTGAGAGTTACAGGAACAAAATGGCACTGCACTGCTGCAGTATTCTACCCGGAAAACCATATTCGTAGTTCACTGCTTTGCATGAAACTGTTAGGCATAAATTCTGCTTCAGTAGTATCATTAACTTATTGTTTGTTTCATACTACATATTCCGTATGCCCTCATTAATTAAAGTGTTTAAACACAAGAATAATAATATCTTATATTTAACTTAATTTAAATTTCCTAAAAAGAATAGAGATTCCGCGAAATAAACTGCTTAAGTTAAAATCTCTTCCACGGCTTCTGTCTGCATGTAAAGGATAACCTAACTGCGATAAGCTGTGCAGAGAAACTACGCATTTAAAGGGACCTTCTCGAAAAGATTTCTGCACACAATCCGTGTATTTAGCATGTAGTCTCTAAGGTACCTTCACAGCTGTACAATGTAATGCTATTGGCATAAGAAAAGTAGTCCTCCAAATATCAGACTTATCACTGGAGTACTGTGCTCAAAGTCAGCGACATTGGCAAGAAGATTTTGTGCTGCATCAGGAAGTGAGCTGTAAAATAATCACTAACGCTTTCCCTTCTATACTGCCCACTTTCTCTGGTCAGTGCAGTAGTTTTACTTTTAGGCTTAGAACAGCGAAAAATATTTTCATCGAGGAGAAACGTAACTATAATAAGTGAAAATATATAGATATGTGATGACATTATTGAAAATATTAATTAATTACAATATGGTAGTTTACACACCGTTATTAGAATTACAACACGAGGCAATTTTGACTTTACTCGATCGCGTAGGGTAGGAATCTTACAGATTCTCTGTTCTCTGTACCGCAAGTCACTCACACATCATCTTGTTTGACTTTCACTTTAGTAATCTACTCGTACAAACACAGGAGCTTTATTCCTACATAACCCCAAATTCTTGTACCGTTATCTGTCTCCAGCATGCATTGCTGCTGCTGTTGCTGTTGCAGCGATGTTGGGCCGCTACGGGCTTCGCGTCTTGGAGGTCTCCAGAGAGATGGGGTAGTGCTTGGAGGCCTGGGCGCCAACAACTCAGATGTGTCCGGCAACGACTCCACAGTGTTCGTAGGCAGAGCCTGCATGGGGGCCAGATCAGGTAAGATGCAACACAGAGTCTCAGTAAATTAAACCACACATATCAAATAGAAGTATTGTGCTTTTGTTGATGTATTTAATGGTGTTTTCTCAATAGAATGAGCTGTGTAGGGTGTAACGGGATGGTGCTTCTAGAGAATAGATTAATATGGATGTTAAAGATAGCGCTCACGTACTGTTTTAAGATACTTTCCCAGTATTGGCAGAGGAATTCTGTCAGTCAGAATAGCTGGTCTCCTCTTGAGAATCGAACCCAGCTGCCCCATTCAAAATTGATGATTAAGAGCTTTATTAAATTCAGTTTATTCTTTATTTATTTACCCACCACGCTGACAGCATAGGCGTAACGAGCAGAAGGATAGTGTTTATTAGACTAAACGTAAAGATATAACAAAAATAATAAAAGTAACATATTATATATGAGGGGCACGCGGTAGCGTAGTTGGTTGAGACACTATGCTACCAGCCGGAATGTCGCAGATTCAAGTCCCGATGAGGTCAATGGATTTTTTTTCAATCGACCTAATCATTCCAGCCGCACTATGGCCCTTGTGTCGACTCAACCTCTAACAAAAATGAGTAACAGGAATATTCTTGAGGGTAAAGGGCAGCTGGAGCGTAAGGCTGACAACCTTTCCGCCATCTATGAGCCGATTGTCTAGAAAATATGGGAACCTCAACATCACACAACCCTATGGGCCTTCGCGGCCTGGTACAGGGATACCTTTACTTTTCTTTTACTTACATATTATACATATGTGTTTCTAGAAAGAAGAGGGAAGGAGGGAGGGAGCTGAGGTAGCTCCGTTGGTATTGTGACTAGGCTATGGGCTGGAAGACTGAGAAATCGGTACTGGATTCCTGCCAGGGGAAAGATTTTTCTCTTCTCCATAGCGTTCAGACTGGCTGTGCGACGCACCGCGTCTCCTATACAAGGAGCAGTGGAAATGCAGTGACAGGGACATACAACTGACGACTCATACCACTACCTTCGTTGTTTAGCGAGGTTTAATTAATCTTATGGGTATTTTTATTGTATATATGTAGAGAGGCCCGTCACGGTAGCCGAGCGGTCTAAGGCGTGTACTGTCTTCGCTCGCTTGGAAACCGGGATCGTGGGTTCGAATCCTACTCAGGGCATGGATATTTAGTTTGTGTGTGTGCCTTTTTCTATGTTTGTGTACAGGTAGAGGACTTGCGACGAGCTGATCGCCCGCCCAAGGAGTCCTACCGAATGTGTAAGATCTAGAAAAAGCGAAGTGAACTGAGAAGTTCATGGAGGTAGGCCTAGGCCCGCTGGGGCTGTAGTGCCAAGGAAAAAAAGATATGTAGAGAGAGAGAGAGAGAGAGAGAACCAACCTTATAATTCTCATAAGATTCATTAACACTTCAATAGCTTTCAAAATCGTTCATTATCGTCATATTCTCTACTGTTGGGCTGTATTGCCTCTTCAGTTTCACCTCTTCAGAGGTGTTTCTGAACTTCTGTTTACCCCAAACATGTGTACTACAATCGGTTTCTTTATTCTATTCGCACCGTCTATTTCTCGCGTTCTTTCCAACTTTTCTTCTAATTCTGTATAATCTTGATAACTGATTCGATGTCTGTATCTCCTAAAATATCTCCGTTTTGTTAATACCCAGTAGTGTCAACTCTACAGTGCTTATCACGATTTTAATTTTCAGTGTCTATGTTTCATTTCCTTCTATTTCTGTAATTCTTTTCCTTTATTTCCAAATGTTCTTTGCTGCTATATTCAGTTCTCAATTTTAATAACGTACATGATGCGACCTATGTCTATCAATCTATATAACTTGTATGAAAACGTAACGTGGAAGTGGCAAATACGAATCCTATTTTGTATGCATATCCCAGAATACAAAGCCTGTTTAACTGTTTATAAGCAGTTACTGGAAAAGAGTTTACTGGACAGATGCAGTTTTCAGATACCGATATTTATATGGTGAGTTGTTGAAGAGTGATGACTTGAAGCTTGGTTCCAGAAGTGGTGGAGCTGGAAGCGGAGGATCGTGTTTAGCAGCGTAGGGGTCGGGGAGGAACGTCTGCATGCAGCTGGTGGAGCTATTGTTCATACCCCGCCAGCTGGACACAATGGTTCATTCCGCTACCGCATTACATGGCGGCGCTCCAGTCACCAACCGACTCGACATTTTGTCTCAAATTCCGGTAGCCATTTTGACAGCAGCGGTAGCTGCAGTTGTACCACGTGTCCACCAAGCTCCAGTTCCAGCGATCTCTACTCATAAAGAACCCGACCCCTCAAGACAAATCAAGGTAAATCAAAGCACAATCTATTCTTTGTTTAAAGTCGCGCTGTATTTATCTCAACAAAGACCAGTGGTTATTTATCTCTGAAAGCAATAAAGTCTCTGGAAAATAAAGTGAATATTCAGGTCACATAACAACACATGCTGGTAAACAATTGGTACTCCTTCTCACTATGCAACCACTTGCATTTGTTGGTCATATTCATTATGTTTGCTGAAATTGTTAGAAGAAAAGAATATACGGTATGACAAAGCCGAATATGGGGAGGGGTCTAGATGATTTTGCAAATATTTATTTAAATCAGGGATATAAGACTTTGTGGCAAGGAGGGTACCCGCAAACTGCTGTTTGAGTATTACTTTTCCGAAACTATGTTATAAGCTTAGTCGCATACAGGCCGCAATCTGCAGAAGAGAAGCAGGACTGCAAGAACTAAGAAGCGATGGACAGGGAAGTACAAGAAGCTGCTACAAAACAGGGTGTGACATAGTCACCACTTTGCCACAGAGTTAGACTGTCTCTAGTTCATATGTTGATAACATCATTTAAGTATATGGAACTGAGGCTCTTCATAGTTTTTGTTTTGTTGGCAATCATGCATAGTATGAGGTGATCGTCACAACACATTCCAATGCAGCAACACTGTCAGATAGGCCTGACCTAGCAGGCATCTGGGTTACAAAGTAAAGTTAAGAGCGTCTTTGCTAGGAGCAGACTAACTATGCAGCAACTATGTTAATGAAAGAGCAGGGGAAATGGAGTGGTGGGCACTGTTCTGTGCCACGACAGATTTATATGGCGAAAGTTCTAACATTTTAATTCTGTTTAAATACAGGACAAATTTGAAATTAAGATCTAAAAGTTTCTGACAACGGTAAATTTCTACAATTAACATGTTTTTGGACATTATCCTTCGTCTTCTCTATTTTTAAAAAACCATCCTGTTTCTTTTTAAAACAACGTTTCGGAGACTGTATTCTGTCCCCGTCCTCGGCTAAAACATACTTAGTTGGGTCTAATAGACAGGGCTAGCCTCTACCTCCTACCCTACCTGAGGACAGGGACAGAATTCAGTCTCCGAAACGTTGTGTTTTGATGAATAAACAGGAGGGATCTTTAAAAATAGACAAGACGATGATGGATAACCTCCAAAAACATACATTACTTACTTGCAGGACAAATTTGTCAAAGAAATAAAGATTGATTCTTAATAAATATTTCTTGTAATTCAATATTAATTTTTTGTAAAATGTAATAAATAATTTATAAATTTATGGAATTAGTAAGCAGTATGAATAAAATGAGACATGCATCCTAATATCATTGTTTTGCTTTTAAAATTGCTAACGAATAAGAAAATTTTCTTTTTCTTACAGTACACACGTAGGCACTGAAATATGCGCTTTTTGCCATAAGCTCGATAATGGACAATCATAAATATTGATATAACTAACAAACCAACTACTTACCTAATTCCATCAGGAAAAGTCTATCTTGAGAAACTAGTTGTCGCTTATACAATCAAGAAATTTCCCGCTTCTATTCAGACCTAAGTTGCATTACCGTATTCACAGCAGCCCACTGGTGGTCCATATCGTGAGCCAGCCGAATCCACTGCACATTCTCAAACCCTGTTTCTGTAAGATCCATTTCATTACTACGCTCCCATTTACGTCTGGACTTTCCGAGTTGTCCCTTCCCTTCAGATTGCCAACTAAAATTGTGTACGTTTTTTATTAAATTTGGGAAGGCCATGTCTCGTTATTCCCTTTTTTCTTGGTATGTAATGCGCAGAGCTGAAGCCGGGTTGGGCATCGCGTTCTGGAAATCACTGAATGATTATCTGAGGTCAAATATCACCAATCATCGCAGTCGAATTATTGACTTCGTATTCCAAATCTCCCAGGTCCAGATTTTTATTCGGAGGCTGACTGTGCTCACTGATAAGAGTTTCCTCAGTCGCGCCATACAAATGTTGGATGGAACATCATAGTCTGCAACAGCTTCCTTCCCTACCCACTCGAATTCATCATGCACGTTTTTCCCAGCACTTAACTCTGGGTATCGAACGTGTAGAGGAAATGCTTCGTTTAATAGCCGAATGCCCGTTATGTGCACTAATTAACAGACAAAGGCAACAAATACTAACCAACCGGCGTGTATTTCCATTATGTATTTGACAAACAAAATTTCACACAAATTCATACTAAGTAACTATATGTAACAGAGTCCTTATTGAGAAACTAATAGTCGCTCAGCTAGTTATGAATTTTCTGTCTTTTAAAGAAGCCGAAACTCAATTTTTTTTTTTTCACAAGAACCCATTACAGGACCCTATTCTGAACAATATGAATTCAGTCCGCGCCATATTTCATTCAGATCGATTGTATTATTGTATTATCATCATCCCATATATTCTCCTGGGTCTTCCAAAAGGTCTCTTCCCTTCAGGTTTCCCGTCTAAATTTTTTATGTATTTTTACATCTCCCATGAGTGTTACATGCACAGCCAGTGTTGTTCTCTGTAATTCAACCCACAAGAAATTGCACACAAATTTTATCTTCGTGTTCCATTAAAACCGGAATAGGCCATCGGTCTAATCCTTGAGTAAGCGGAGGTTGAAGAGAAGGAAAAAACGAAAAAAGAAAATATTAATTTAATATTTAAAATAAATCAGTTTCTTTACATCAGTTACGCTGGGTGAAAAATACGAATTATGAAGTTCATTTTTCATTTTCCTCCAGCCTCCTACTCCTTCTGCCTTTTAGGGCTCCTAACTTCACATCCATCATGCCGCGCTCCCGTGCATGACTCGCCTGGGTGTCTAGTGAAAGGCTAGGCCAGCCATGCTGATCGGCCCCATTTCTGAAAAAGAAAGAAGAGACAGAATTAGATACACGGGTTTATACTGTACATTATACTCTGCTCTTACAAACACTAACGTTAAATCTTGTGTGCACATTGCTGGTCCATTTAAGGAAGATTTTAGCATATTTTGGATAATAATTCTCCTCATAAATGGAATAGGAAAAGTGACTCTAACGTGCTCATAATCCGTGAAAAGTGATTTTCGAGAATGATATCCAGGAATCAACTCTGAATTTGTGCCCCTCTCATATTGATATTCTCAATTCAGTGTGTTTTCTTATCGAAAACAATGTCATGTTCATTTATGTTCTGTGCAGCAGAGTTCAGATATTTGGGAAAAAATCAAAACTTTAAAAACTTTATTCAGGAGGAAATTAAGAGGAGATTTAACACTGGTAATGCTTGCTACCATTCAATCCAGAACCTTTTGTCTTCTCGTCTACTGTCTAAAACATAAAAATTAGAATATACAAAACTATAATTTTGCCTGTGGCTCTGTATTGGTGTGCAACTTGGTCTCTGATATTAAGGAAAGAACCTAGACTGAGGGTGTTTGAGAACAGGGTGTTGAGGATAATATTTGGACCGAAGAGAGACGAAGTGACAGGAGGTTGGAGAAAACTACACAATGATAGGCTTCATAACTTGTACACTTCTCAAAGTATAATTAGAATGACCAAGTCAAGGAGGATTAGATGGGCAGGGCATGTAGAGCGAAATGTGGAGAAGAGGAATACATATGGGATATTTTTTGGAAAACCAGAAGGAAAAGGGCCACTAGGAAGACCAAGGAGTAGGTGGGTGGATAATATTAAAATGGATCTTAGAGTGATACAATGGTGTGGTAGGAATTAGATTGATTTGGCTCAGAATAGGGACCAGTGGAGGGCTCCTGTGAACACGGTAATGAACCTTCGGATTCCGTAAAATGCTGGGAAGTTTTTGAGTGGCTGCAGAATTGGCGGCTTCTTAAGAAGGGCTCAGCTCCATGCGTGAGTGAGTGAGAGCAGTCTCCTATTTAATTAGTGAAATTCTCCGTTCTTTCTTTTTAACGTCGTTTACTAATGAGAAAATTAAGTTTGCTTAACGCTTATATGCAAGATTTTAAATCATTTTGCATGTTAAATGCAGCTCAGATGTTGTGATTTCTAATTTATATAGTACAACATGGAAAAGCACCCATGTTGTAAATTGGAGACCACTTATACCGAGTGTCCGGATGAAAGGTATACAAAATAAAAAAATATATATATCGGAAACTAATTTTCATACACGTATCCGGTTTATATCATCGGAAAGATTTTTTTTCATACCCGGCTTACTCGCAAGTGCCGCCACATCTCTGCCACCATGTTAGGAATCACCTGGACAGAGACATGGCTAGGAGATGGATCAGCAGAAGTGAACCAATCGCTTGGCCTCCTAGGTCGCGAGATTTAACGCCAGTGGATCTTTTTCTTGTGGGGTTATGTGAAGAACATTGTCTACCGGGTAAAGAACAAACACCTTCAAAACTTGAAAGCTCGAATAACGGATGATGTGGCTGCGATAATACCAAAAATGCTTCAAGTAACGTGGAACGAGCACTCGCGGTGCATGGGGAAACCCACCCCCTAAATACTGAATCACTGAACGTGAAACGAGGTCGCATTTCGTCTGTATATCTGTCGTGTCATTAAGGGAGCCCACATTGTATTTATTGACAAAGTTATATACTCAGAAAAAGCTTTAAGGGTTTCCCTTTGCAATGGTGTAACCCATAAATGTGTATAATAAAAGTGTTCTGAGATATAATTATTTTATTTTGGATACCTTTCATCCGGACACCCTTTGTTGTTAGGCTGACTGTATCCTGATCATTTCTGCTCGTCTATGCTGTTACTCACTTTGCATTTTGAGGATGCTGGCACACTGACCGTGTCGAAATCAGTCTAGTAAAATATATTCTCTCTTTCGATGTCACAGAGCGAAATACTCAGGTTTCCCCCCTCGGGCAAAAAATACAAAAATTATGCGCAAAACAAATGGGTCTGCCTTTCCGCCATTTTGATGTTCAGATTCTATTTGACCTGAATGGACGTGGTTAGTGCTCCATCTTCCTGGTTCAAACTGTACTAGTCTAATTGTCTCTTCTTTGGTTGTTGCAGTAAAAACTAACAGCACACGAGAAAATGTAACAACTCCAGCAGGATGAAGAATGTACATTTAGTGAAGACGATTATGGAACTTAGAAGTTCCGATCATGGACTCTCAATGGATTAAAACGTGTTGTGCGGTGTGTCAAGATTAATGGTTTAAGGCAGTGTTCATATAGTCATTGTCAACATAACTGATTGTAACACCATGGTCAATATTCTTGCCGTTTGCTCAGTGTTCAGTGAGGAAATAACTTCGCTTGAAGCCACAAACTTAGTGAAGTTTAATTTTCCATTCTGCTTAAGATGCACGCCACGAAAACTCATAGGATAGTGAGAACAAACTTCCACGCACTTCCACCTCAGCACGAGATGGTGGTGTGTGGTTAGCTTTAGTCCCTGACCGATTTATGCACGGTCTTCACCGGAAATGATTTTGGTTTGCCTCAGAGCTGGCCCGTACACGGTGACGAAAGAAATGTAGCTTCTCTTGCTTAGAAATAAACGCCAGCTATCCACACTTTGCAAGTAACTATATTTACTGGTGCATCCCGGTAAGGGATTCGTTTGGGTCTGATCCCGGTTCTGCACAAATTTTCAATAAATGTAGGAGGCAGAGTAAAAACAAATACTTCTGGTGTGAAATTTTGCTCCTTTCCTTAACCACAGAGCAAATTAAATATCCACATGTAAATAATATCCAATTGCCTTGACGATGGAGAAAGAACCAGTCCACATTTGTTAGGATACGGCAGGAACGTAAACTGTCTTCTGCCTTTGATAAGAAGTTTGTAGGCGAATCTTACAGGATATACAAAAATATAAGATGGCAAATAAATGAAGAGGAAACGAGGGAAGGCACGAAAAGGAGTGGCGGTATTGGAACTGTTTAACGTAAAGGAGAGGTAGAAAAGAAGAGGAGAAGAGTGAGAAGGGATGAAAGTAAAGGATTATGGAAGCAATAAGATAGAAATGAGGGAGGAAGATAAGATACATGAGGGGCTAAAGAAATTAAAATGTAATTTATGTTCTCAGTGCCTTTAATGGGTCATACTCGTACCCTGGTGGCAACATTATATGAAGGAGGATCTACCCGCCGATATAAAGAATGTAGGCTTCATGTCTATATGGCTCCCAGAATTTGAGCAGGAATGTTACGAGTATTACAATTTTTTCGGAACAGGAATTTTCCTATGACAGATTAACAATGTAAACTAAACATTCTAAAACATTCTCAGAACCCGTAGAAAGGAGTGATATGTAAACATATTTGTTTCCTGATTCTTGAAAACTACACGATATTTACATTCATATTTTTGGCCATTTGTCTTCCACGAACCCTTGAGTATTATTCTGTGAGGTTTATTTTTCTCCTAAGAACCAATTGAAAATTTCACCATGAGTACCTAGAAGGTATGTACAGGTTGTCAGCCCACTTTAGGCATATATGGACTGAAGAAGGCTAATTTGATCGCCTTGCAAGTTGTTTGTTTGTTTGTTTGTGCGCGCGTGCTTGCGTGTGTAGCCACTTTCGGCTTTTGAAACAGGTGACGAATTTTCATGATATTTTCATGGACAGTATGCCACTGGGAGTAAATGCAACTTCACATTTCTTAAACCTCTAACCTGCTAATTACGCAATGTGCACAGTCTGTCTATGGCTGTGCAGCCCTTTGTCGCACCTTGGCCGCTTTTTCAGTTTCCTAATTCCATACACAGTCGATAGGACTCATGGACTTGAGATGAGCCAGTCGCAAGGCCGCTACAGAACAACACAAACAGAATAAACTCACACAGTCATCAATGCTTTGAGTGGGATTCGAACCCAAGATCCAAGCTTTCGAGCCAGAGAAGACAGCTCGTGTCTTTGACCGCGTGGCCACTGTGATCGGCACAATATATTCAATTTGCCTCCATACATAAATTTAAATACTTCAAAATAGATGGCTCTGGATAACGTAAAGAAAGCTGCGAGTATACGGGTTTACCACATCTGCTTTCAAATAACTAAACTACTGCATTTTTCGTTGTCGTTGCAGAGCCCGTAAAGTAGCTAATGTAAGCCCCACGGTGGTTGTGGGAGATCTCGAACCGTCATATGAGGTCAGTGGGTTAATTTCGGGTTATCAATTATAATAAGGCAGAGGACGGACGAAATTATGACGAAGGGGGCCACATTACTGCCGCTTAATATGGGTTCATTGAACTGTGTAAGGTAAGAGATCTTCGAAATTTGCTAAACTTCTGTCCATGTCATTGAATATAGCAAGTAAAAGAACAGCATTGCGGCAGTCTGAAAATTTTCTTTTAGATTTGCTTTGAACAGTGACAACTAATGTACCATTTGATACAAAGTATTAAATGTTGAATGATGATAGTGTGTAAGCAATCATACAAATTATGCATAAAATGTTGTTTGTAAGTCAGTTTTAAACATGGCGACGGTGCGAATTTTGATGTGATATCCATAAAGGTTAATGCTGAGGGTGTCTGTAATTAAATAAACGGAAGTGCTTATGGGACGATTCCCATGACGGCGAACATTAAAACTGTAGACTTGTAATATTTGACGCCGTGTAGTACGGTAACATTTTACGAGATTACATGGCGTCACTTCTCAGACTACCACGGACTTAATAAGTTCCTCCGCTTCCAAAGACACTATTACTATTAACAGAGACAACAACAACAACAACAACAGTCTGTAACACGTCTACAATTACAAGCTATAAAATTATCTATTTACTGATGATGAAGCAATAAAAAGAGTGAAGTACTTCATTATCAATAGAAAGTATAATGGCTGAAGTGTCTCGTATAGAATTATCTACTTACTTCTGTAGGATTAGGTAGTAGAACCAC